GAGCAGGGAGCCCGATGCGGGACTCAATCCAGGGACTCCAGGATCATGACCTGAGCCGAAGGCAGTTGCTTAACCAACTGAGCCACCCAGTCGCCCCAGTATTTTTCTTATTTTTAAGATTTTTTCCCATGTATCCTTGGTAGTAATTGTCTTCTGATTAGTCTGCTTGCTTGCTTCTTTTGATCCATCTTCCTTTCTTAGTTTGTGGCTTTAGGTTGTGTTTTACTGTATCCTTTTGTTTTGGCTATTTAATATATGTGTATGTATATAAATATATATATATCCAATACTTATATGTATATATATGTTGAATTCTAGAAACTGCCTAGTGTCCTTGTAGAATGTTGCTAATTGGAAAAAATGAAAAACAGCCTTTTAGTATTTTTCCAGCAGTGCTAATCAGTTCCATAGCAAGTATTTCAGGCAGAGTAATTTATCAGTCAGCCATTCAGGAAGTGTCTGCCACGGTGCTTCTCCACCTGGGCTGCACATCAGCAGTGCCTCTGTCATCTGGGGTCCTCGTCAAAAATACTGATTCCCTGGCACCTCAGCTGGAGGTTTTCACCAGTAGGTTTGGCATGGAGCCAGGGAATCTTTTTTTTTTTATGGTAGGTTCTGTGCCCAGCGTGGAGCCCAGCACAAGGCTCCAGCTCACAACCCTGAGATCAAGAGTCGGACACTTAACCGACTGAGCCACCCAGGTGCCCCGAGAATCTGTAATTTTAACACACACCCTAGGAAGCCTGATTTTTATTTAGGAAACTGCACCAAGGCTTTAAAAATCTGGCATCTTCAAAATAGTGATTTAAAGGGGAACTTCATTTTAGGACCTGATTACGACTTTAACCGTGGACCTAAAAAAAAAAATTCCACTTCCTGTTCTCTTGTGTAAAATGTATGTTCCGTGATACCAGCTTGGGAGAAAAATCAGTACACAGATGTTGGGAAGCCCCAGCTGTGTTTAATTTGAAATCTTCTGTTTGAATTCTGTCTTCTCATCTCACCACTGGGCAGTAACTCCTCTCTGAGGGGCTCTGGGTAGGAACTCAGGAGACGTCACATCCCTAGGAACCAAGGGCTGTGTATTGTAAACAGTCGCTAGGATTCAGAGTTGTTTGCTTTTTCCAAGCCCTGAAATCTCATGGGGCAATTGTTGAAGTTGGAGCTCACATAAAGGGCATATGAAGAACACAAAGCAAGGCATCCGGAAATGGATTTCTACGAACGTCCAAATGCCACGTTTGGTGTCAACACCATTGTTTTAACAGCTTACGTTCCCCTCACCCTTCTGCCCCCCACACCCCCCTGCATAACATTTGGCTGTAAGAGGATGTTTCACAAAACAGAAATGTTGTTTGCCTTTAGGCTGTAATGCTAAGGAGAAACTTTGTGATTTTAACAATTTAGAAATTGGGTCACAATGCCAAACGGAAAATCCATATCAGCCTACGTCTTGATATGACAGACATTATTTCCATTCTTTGCACTTTGGAAATGCATATTAACGAACTCTTTCTATCTTTTAAGTGACATATTTGTATCTAAAGGTCAAGCATCGGAATGATAGAAGTTGGCAAATTATTTAGTTCCTTGTGCTGACTTTTGAATTCATAAAGATTTCAGGGCATTAAGTTTTGTTCTCCAAAGAAGAAACAGGTTTTTTGTTTCTGATCATAAAAGATGACTTAATCTGGGGTGTTTAGGGCCACGTTGTGTGGCTGTAGTCTTCCATTAAGCATTCTGAACGTGTTGGGGTGCCTGGGTGGCTCAGTCGGTAGGGCGTCCAACTCATGATTTCACCTCAGGTCGTGATCACAGGGTCCTGGGATTGAGCACCATGTTGGGCTCCATGCTGAGCATGGAGCCTGCTTGGGATTCTCTCTCTCCTTCTCCGCCTGCCCCTCCTGGCTCACACTGTCACTCTCTCTCTCTCTCAAAAATAAAAAAAGATCCAAACATGTCAGTGGCCCTTTGGCGTGAGCAATACAGGCATAGGGATTGAGCGAAATGTTCCCAGTGTTGCATATCATCATAGTTGCAGGGAAACATGTGCTCTTTGAAGCTTGTCATGTTTCCTTTTAGAGGGAAATTTGGAAGTGAGGATAAATAATAGATGCTATGGGGATAAAACGTACAGCATAGGGAATATAGTCAGTGCTATTGTGATAATGTTTTATGGTGGCAGATGGTAGCTACACTTGTGAGCATAGCATAGCGTATAGAGTTGTCTAATGCTGTGTTGTACACCTGAAACTAACATTGTGTGTCAACTATACTTCAATTAAAAAAAAAATAGACGCTCGATTAAGAAACCCTGGAGATGTACTTATGGGGTCATTTCATAGAAAAGAATGTTGAAGAAGCAAGACCATCCTGAGATAAACCAGAGGAAGCCATGCTGAAAAGCACTTGGAACAAAGCTGGAGTCATTTGTGAGGACATTGGGAGAGGTGTCGTTAACCTCTCTTGGTGACTTTGATGCCGACCCTCATTCAGTGTATAAGCAAAGACCCTTCTGGATAAGAGTCCTCAGTCCTGTGGCTTTCTTGGAGGGATGTGATGGAGTCTTTCTATAAGAGGTTCTGTAGTGAGTGGTCTGCCCCCCACACTTGTCAAAGGGACAGTGGTTTTGCTTCTCATTATGTTTCCAGTGTCTGGCATGGGGCTTGGCACATGGAAAGCACCTAGTGCTTGTTTGTAGAAATTAATTTTCCAGGCCTGGAGCATTGCAGCCAAGTCAGACACGAGACAGTGAATTTCCTTTTCTCTTCTCTCTCTCTTTTTTTTTTTAGTGTTCAAAGCTTCTTTCAGACACAAGCGTTATTCAGTTCTACCCAAGCAAATTTGTCCTTATCACCGACATACTTGATACATTTGGTAAGTACTAGTCCTGTTCATCTTCAATCTAGGAAATACTTTTTTTTTTTTGCCAGAAGTTGGGTGGTAGTGTTGCTTTAATTTCTGTTGTGGTTTAAGTAGTTGGGTGAAACATGAGGGAGACTAAACGACCGCCCTGTCCCCGCTCATTAACAAGGGTGCCGTTTTTAGAGAATCCTAAATGACCTGTTTTCTAACCTTCTGAGAGGCTAGTGAAGCAAGCAGGGGAAGCATGGGGGAGCTGGGGAGCACACATCTGGTCTAAACCAGCTCCCGTCCCTTGACATGTCACGGTGCCTGGAACTCACTTTGTCAGAACCGAACTTGGCCTCTCTTCCCAGCACCTGCAGTGGGTTTCTGTCCCAGGGAATGATAGGACCATGTGCCCTGTGCCCAAGCTGGAAATGTGAGAATCTTCTCCCCTGCGCCCCATGTCCAGTCCATCACCAGGTTCTTCGGTCTCCTGGGTCTCCCTCCACTTTGTCCGTTTTTATCTGTCTTCACTGAACACTGTAGTCCAAGCCACAGTCCTCTCCTGCCTGGACTGATTACGACCGCTCTTGTGAGGTTTCCTGCCATGTCACGGCTGCCCCTTGTCCCATGCTCCCCCCATCAGGCAGAATGGTCTAGACTGAAGAGAAGAACCTGGGGCCCCTCTGGAGACACAGGAGGCTTTTGTGCTCTTTGGTGGTCATCAGTGGCCAGAGCATCAAGCCATGCAGCCCTCTAAACTCTATATGATGTTCAGCGGCAAGGTTCTCCCCAAGAACTAGCAGACAGAATCATCTTCTAAGAGCCCAACACCTAGCAGATCAGAACAGAGACGTTTGCTTTCTTGCCAAGGAGGGACCAGCGGACTCCGAACCCAGCAAGTCTCATCTGAAGCCCATAGAAAGATCTAATATGGCAGAAAACAAAATATCAAGCAGAGACCCCCATTTGCTTCACAGGAGACTGGGGTCTGAGTGTATTAGCTAGAACAAACGATATAAAAAAGGTCTAACTCCTACTAATCTTGGGAAAAGCGGGTATTTATTGGCTTATGTTGAAAAGTGCAGGAGTAGTTTCTGGATTCAGGAACTCAAACAGTGTGTGGGTATTTTCTGGTACTTGTCCTTGGGGTCTCCTCGTTCTCAAACTCTGCAAGTTGTTCTCCACTTGTATCAGTTCTTCTGCCAGTAGTCCCAGGACAAGGGAAGAGCTTCTTTCTTCCAAGCCTACAACAAAAAGTCCCAGAATTCTGTCTCTTTGGCCTGGTTGGATCACAAGTCAGTTTCTGAGTTATTTGTGGTATCTGGTGGGATGAATTAGCAGATTATCCAGGCCCGGGTCACCCCACAGAAGAAAGGTGGTGATGTTGCCAGAAGAAAGGGGGTTGGGAGCTAACTGGGCCCCAAGAAGAGATGGCCTGGCTGAGTGATGGCCAATCAGGGTCAGGTGGCCCGGGCACTCTGCTGAGTTCCTAGGATGTATCAGCAAGAAGAGACAAAAATCCTCACTTTTGGGGGCTTATGTTCTGGTAAAAGGGGATTTACAAAACAAGTAAGTAAACCCAATTGTATGTTAGATGATGATCAGCACTGTGGAGGGAAAAAACAAAACAGAGGAGGGTAAGGGGTGGAGGAGACTGTGGTTTTAGATAAGGTGGTCACAAGAGGCCCTGCTGAGATGTTGCTATTTGAGCAAGTGCTTGAAGGAGAGGAGAGATGAGCTGCATGCTCTCTGGGGGAGGGAGAGTGCAGCCATGTTAGGCCGAGGACAGCGGGTGCAAAGTCCCTGGGGTAGGAGCGTGCCTGGCAGGTTTGAAGAGGCTGGGGTGGCTGGAGGGGGTGTGCAGGGTGGTGGCTCAGCAGCTGACATGGCTGGAGGTCCTGGTGGGCCTTGAGGGCCATTGGAGGGACTTGGGCTTTTACGCTGAGGACATAAGGAACCATTGGGAGTGTTAAGGCGAGCAGGGATGTGATGATTTAAGTTTTATTGGCTCCTTGTTGAGACTGTCGGGCGGAGGTGGGTCAGGGAGCGTGGCTAGCACTTCAAGTGGGAGGCCGGGGAGATAGCAGAGATGGAGAAGATGAATGGATTTGCAGAATGGATGGGTGAGTTAGGCTCTCAGAATAGATACCCAGTCATACGCCCTTCGGGCCTTGACTTGTCCTCATGCGCAGCTTGCCTTCAGCAGCGAGGACATCAGTCAGGGAGAGAGGTCGGTGGTTGTGTCTGGTTCTCCTGACAGTTCTGTTTCTCATGGTGGGTTAACACACCAGCCTTCTGGTTTCCCTAACCTGCCTCCTGCAAGTTTCTTCTGCATGAGTCAGCATTCTGAGTGAGACTAACACGGGGACGCCGATGGATTGGCTTCTAACCTACAAGCCTGGCCAGATCCGGACATTAACCTTGTGAGAATTTTGGGCAGCCGTCCCGTCAGCCTCTGGTGGCGGCATCCCAGTCCCCTCCCTTGGCAAGCCGGGATATGATGCACATGCCTGTTTTTGCCCTATCCCAGAGATTAGCTGGGCTGAGAATTGGTAAAAGCAGTGATAAACCCTCAACAAATAATGTCCTTGGGCCTGACTCTGTTCTGGGTGCTTTAGAGATATTACATCACGTTGTCTTCATCACAGCCTGTGAGGTGGGGTCTCTAATGACTCCATTTCACAGGTGAGGGGCCCAAGGCACAGAGAAGTAAATAGCTCGCCCAGGGTCGCAAGGTGGGCAGTGAGCGGCAGGGCTGGGATTCTGAGTTTTCTCTGTAGTCAAAGACCTGTTTCGTTTCTCTTGTATTTGGCTCACGGGGGGAATGTTGCTCTCCATGAAAATTACAAATGTGTGTACATTTGACCCTGGCAACTTCACCTCTGGGAATTCATCCCATTTGTGATAGCGGAACCCTGGAAACAACCCAAGTGGCCATCACTAGGGGACCATTTAAATAAATGACGGTCCATCTGTACCCCGGAGCATAGGAAGCCCACAGGAAAGAGTGAGGGTGTGCTCTGCGTTCCGGTGTGGAGAGATCTCTGGGGTATATATGTCGTCACGTGAAAAAATCAAGATGCAGAACAGCTGTAGAATATGTTCTGTTTTGTGTAAGAAAGGAGAAGAAATTAGAATACTTGTTCACATTCCCTTTTATTTGCCTGGAGAAACATTTAGAAGGATGTCCAAGAAATTCAATAGCAGTGGGAGTCCTCAGAGGCCGGCGGGGGCCGTGGGGTGGATGGGGATGGGCCAGAGAGAAACTTGCCTCATACCTTCTACAGCCTTTTTAAAATTTCGAATCAGAGAAATGTTTTTTTTCTTTGAAACCGAACATTCAAATGAGGTCCTGGCCTTCGACGTCATTCTCCTTCCTCCACATCTCAGTGGTCTACACTCAAGCGTGAGGACCATGGATTTAGACAAGCACCATGGGTCTCGGAGCTAAAACTTGCCTTGGGCATGGGAATCTCTAAAAACAGTGACAAGCCCCCCTCTTCCCTCTAAACCAGTGGTCCCCAACCTTGGCTAAACACTCGAAGCACCCGGGGCACCTGAAAATAGGCTGCCCTTGTCAGGACCTGTTGTGATTAGTATTCCTCAGGATTGTGAGGCAGCCTGCATCTGCAGGTGCTCAAGGAGACTGTTGTGCTTTGCCTGGAACAAAATGTTTTCACCTTTCACAAAACGGGCGGGAGTCTGCCTTGCTTGGGTGGAAGTTCGGAGCGCCGTGATGCAGCTTGTGTGCATCGTCCTAATGGTGCTCTGTAGGGAGGTGCTTGACCGTAGGCGGGCTGGTGTTTGGTGGTTGACAGGACTGACCGAAGGTGGGAGCATCTTGCTGGGCAGGGTTGTGGGACACGGCCCTGAGCATGTGCAGATGGGAAGATGCATGCTGGACTTCGAGGGGGATTTCACGGAAGGCACCGAGCACAGAGCTGGGCTCTGGAGTCTCTCGGCCCACGTCCCATGCCTGTGTGTCCTGTTCCAGAGTCGTGTGCATCCGACCAAGAAACACTTGGTTTCTTCCCCTGTAAAATGGGCATAATAGATCCTGCTTCTGGGGGTTTCTGGAGGGACTTAAGAGAATAGGAAGCATATAACGTTTTTCCTCTTCTAAGAGTTTGCTGGCAGGATCATGTAAGCAACTTTGAAAGTACCTGGTGCAAAGTTAGTGCTCAGAGAATTATTTATCTATTTTAGTGTTCTTGATTTGTAAGACAGTCGGGAAAGGAAATAAATCTAGGATCAGGTATTATTTCTCAAGACTGTTGTCCACTAACCTAACAGAGGAAAAAAAATACTCACCAAACTCGTTTGGCCAAAAATGATTTTGTAGTTGAAGGCCCCTTAGCATATGAAGGTACACTATACACGTGGTTTTAGAGGGATGGCAGGCTTTTTGTGGAGCAAGTAAAGGCGTTTTGTGCTCTTAAGTCTGGTCTATGTACAATAGGAGGTGAGAGGTGACCAGCATGGCTTGCTGTGTGATGGTCCACGGTAAAAATTATATGCAGTCCCAGTGCTGTGTTCTGTGGTCCTCAAGAGGAGGCCCATCATGGCCCCAGATGTGGCTGCCACGGGAGCCCATGGCCGCAGGTAAGGAAAGCACTTCCGGCCAGGAGGAAAAAGGCAGGTGGCTTTGAGAACTGGGTTTTATTCCCTGAGGCTTCCTGGGAGCTTCTCAGTTGAACTGATGGTGTAGAGCAGGGGTTTTCATCCTCGGCTGCACACCTGGGGAGCTTTAAAAACACTCCCAATGGTCAAGCTGGACCCCAGATCATTTCTGTCAGAACCTTTGGGGACAGACACAGACACCAGCCTATTTTCAGGCGCCCCGGTGCTTCGAGTGTTTAGCCGAGGTTGGGGACCACTGGTTTAGAGGGAAGAGGGGGGGCTTGTCACTGTTTTTAGAGATTCCCATGACCAAGGCAAATTTTAGCTCCGAGACCCGTGGTGCTTGTCTAAATCCATGGTCCTCACGCTTGAGTGTAGACAAGAATTCCCTAGCTAAGGTTATTCAAAATTCATATTCCTAGTCCTCACCCTCCAAAATACTGTTTTTCACTAGCTCTGAGGTGGGCCCCAGGAATGTGCCTTTTCAACAGGTTTCTTCATGTGATTGTAACATAAGTAGTCCACACTGGGAGAGGCACCTAGATGGCTTCTTGCCCTTCGTCCTAGCCTTGTGTCATTTCTTGGTGAAGTCATTTGACTTCACGTTCTTAGAACTTCCTGTCTCTTTTTCCATGTGAGGACCGGTTGTGTGCTTCTTTGCTTCCCCAAATGATGGGGTTATGGGGGAAAAACCATGGTGTGCTGTGGGATATATCTTAGCACTGGGGATATATCCGTGAGCAAAACAGACCCAAATTTCTACCCTTTAGCACTTGCTAGTTGAATCTCAAATTTTGATGCTTCTGGGCACCAGGCAGATCACATAAATGAGTGCCCCAGACCGTTGCTGAGAGACAGCATTGGTGGAAGCTGGGACAAACTGGGTGGTATATATGCCATTTGAAGAGTCAGCTACTAATTTGTCGTAGCTCATTTTTTTTTTTTTTTAAAGAGACTTTTCTAAGATTTATTTATTTGAGAGCACAAGCAGGGGGAGCAGCAGGCAGAGGGAGAGGGAGAAGCAGGCTCCCCGCTGAGCAGGGAGCCCGATGCGGGTTCCATCCCAGGACCCTGGGATCACGACCTGAGCTGAAAGCAGATGCTTAACCGACTGAGCCACCAGGCGCCCCTGTCATAGCTCATTTTTATCCTGTAGGGATATGGGCCATTTTTGGCATATCATTTGTGAAGAAGCAGGAAATCGGGTTTTTCACATGAACGAAAGTTTTTAACCTGTTGGCAACTAATTAAAAAAAAAATGTTAAAGCACTTTGTGGGCCTTTGTGTTGTGGGCCAAACAAAATGGATCCCTGGCTGGATTCCACCCACAGGCTGCCCATCTGCAGCCTCTGGCTTAGAAGCACAACATGGATGATTCGCTGATGAGTGAATGGAGGTGCCTGAGGTCCCCTTGGCCCTAAGTTTCCCTCTCTAAGGGGAGAAGGATGACTTCCCTGCCTCGCAGAAAGTAAAAGTCCCTGCGCTTTATTAAAAACAGAAACAAAAGAAACGCGGCTTAAATTTGTCCCACTAGGTGGCAGCATACCATCACAAGTTAAAGTGCTCTGGGGCACGCCGGCTCTGTCCCTAATTAACAAACGTTTATTTAGTGTTCACTCCTGAAGAGCTGGATGCTAACACCATCTGTCCTTTTCTCCCCAGGAAAGCTCGTGTATGAGCGCATCTTCTCCATGTGTGTGGATAACCGCAGCGTCTTACCAGGTAATGTCAGAGCTGTTCTACTGGTTTCGTTCTGCCCTGGAGTTGTGATTAGAAGGTTTCTATCAAGTCAGGATTTATGGAGACTCAGTATAAGATTTATTTTGTTTTTGGTGTGTTAAAAGTAGAAGAAACACCTTTGCAGATTTCTGATCGTCTCAGTTTTCTAAAAAAAACATTAGAAGGTTTTCAAATGGCCTGGCTAAGAATTTGGGCAAGTACTTGGAATCCAGGAAAATAAAAAGATACTGCAACTAGATTCAGCTGACCTTTTTTTTTTTTTTTTAAGTTCAAACTTTTTATTTTTATTTTTTTTATTCTTATGTTAATCCCCATACATTACATCATTAGTTTTAGATTCAGCTGACCTTTTATACCAACTTAAATTCCTCCACTGCCTGACATTTTTTTCCTGTATCTCTCTCCTGAGAAGCAAATAGCAGAAACCAACTTTATATATACTAAAGAACAATGTCAAAGAAATCGATAACAGATACTTGCATTTACAGTCTGTGCTTAAGTGATGTGTGCATTAAATTTATTGCCAATCCATTTTAAATTCTCAGGGGGTTAAAATGGGACAGCTTGATTATGAGTCTGTTGTAACATAAATGGTGACGATTTGTCTGACAACATGGAACTCTTAGCAGCGGCTTCTCTTACCTCTTGTCCCTCCTTTCAAGTTTCTAGAGCTGCTGTAAGGAAACATTCTCATCCATACAAGTTACCACAACAAGCTTGCTCCCACTGCTCCTGTTCTCAGCCAAATGGTGGCATCGACGACCATAACCCATAATTGACCTGTTCACTTATTCATTAATTCTTTCATCCATCTCTGTATCTGTTATTTTAAAAACGATTTAATACAGCTATTTCTCAGAGACAGAACTCCACAGGCCTTTCGGGCTGGAAGAGTCATCTGGCGTCAGATGAGCAAACCCATGGGGGACGAGCCAAGGACTTGCCTTCGGCCCTGTCACCAGCTAGTGGGAGCCTTGCTCTTAAGCTGGATCTGTGCCGTCCAATATGGCGGCCAATGTGGGTCATGTGGGGCACTTGAGATCTGGCCAGTCCAAATGGAGGGTGTGCTGTGTGTATAAAAATACATTGGATTCAGAGACTTAATAGAAACAAAAGACCATGAAATATCTCACCGATGATTTTTAAAATTGATTGCATGTTGAAATGACATTTTGGGTGAATTGGGTTAAATAAGGCATTTTATTAAAATTTCACTTGTTTTAAGCTTTGCGCAGTGGCAGTATCGTAGCCAATGAGGTTTATCCGAGGCGCAATTATCGCTAATTAAAATTTCACTTGTTTCAGTCTCTTTGAACGTGGCTCACGTGGTATTTCTGTTGGTTGGTGCTGCTCTAGATCCTCCCCTACACCACATCACATCCGTGATGTTATTAACCGCTCCTTGCGTGTTCTAAGGCATCTCAAGATTGGGAGGCAGTGAGCCTGGAGAGGTAGGCAGAGGCCAGCATGAGTGCAAAGGCCTTCTCTGTCAGCTTTAAGGATTTGGGAAGTCTGGGTGCACCTATTTAATTTAAACTTGCCAACTTGTGTGCCATACAAGTAAGCAGCAGTAAATGCTCATCTATAAGCAGAATTAAACCCAAATAGGTGTTTTTTGTGGCTACAACAGTATTCTTTTTATTTTTAAGTAATCTCTACACCCAATATGGGTCTTGAACTCCTAACCCTAAGATCAAGAGTCACATGCTCCACTGACTGAACCAGCCAGGTGCCCCTACAACAGCATTTTTCCCCAAAAATATTTATTTACTTTAGAGAGGGCGGCAGAGGGAGGGGAAGAGGGGGAGAGAGAGAGAGAGAGAGCACGAGAATCTCAAGCAGACTCCGCACTGAGCACAGAACCTGACTTGGGGCTTGATCTCATGACCCTGAGATCGTGACCTGAGCCGAAATCAAGAGCCACCCAGGCGCCCCTCCAACAGCGTTTTTTAACATGCTTTTTAATACACAGTCTGCTACTTCATATTGTTGTACACCTAACCACATAAGAATATTTATTACCTGTCTAACCCCCAGAGGCCTTTGAGATTATATCTACTGCAATGATTTTCCTTCCTCCCAATTTTCACTAAGGATACAAATAGTATTTTAGAGCCAGTTAAGGAAAAATTACTAACAACCTCCTATCTAAACTATAAAAGTTCAAGATAAAAGACTATTTTCGTATTCATTTCCAGGCCTTGTCTAAATTTATTAATTAGCACTTTGATCACGGAAACTCTTCCTTCCCCAAAATACCTTTTTTTTTTTACCTTGAGCGATGCAAATCAGGCTTTTGTTCTTCTTGAAAATAATTTAATTTTTTTTTTCTTTCAGTGAAAATCTTCATCTGCACGTAGTGTTCTCTGGTTCCAAGAACCTGAGAGGGAAAAGGGCAAATTTCTCTCAAAAATGTCAGTGATTTGGGGGATGTCTCTTAACAATAATTATGAAGAAAGCTTTTGAAATTGCCTGTGTGGAATTCTGCCTAAAGAGATTATGTACAGAGAGGAATCTGGTGGCATGTGTACTCATTCTTTCCAGTTGAATCAAGTTCTGACTGGTGAATTTAATTTTTGAGCCCTTTACCTTCAGGAATTTGAACTGAGGCATGCATACCTATTTTATGAGTTTAGAAGGATACCGGTGTCCTTTGGGGTCATGGAAAGTACATACTACTGTATGTGGTAGTTTTTCCCTACCATTTCTTAATCCAGCCTATGTGTGGAGAGACCATCTACTCTAAGTGATAAAGTAACTTTATTTCCATCTTGGGAGAAAGAACTTGGGTTTGTCGTCATGCGGTTGTCGTCAACTGGGGGCATTCCCATCTTCGGTTTTTCCCTGTGGCTGATGTAGGCTGCATCTGGATAAGCAGTGTCCTTAATTGACCTAGCCTTTGAGGCGTGTACCAAGATGACATCTCTATATGCGCTGTTATGTAAAGAGACCTCTCGCTCATAGGGTAGAGACTTGGCAGAGGAAAGAGAACTAGACTCACTGGTCTCCTCCCTCCTCCTAAAATATCCACAGAAGTTCAGGGTTGAAAAAAGAAGCACCATAAAAGAAAAATAAGTGGGAATAGAAGGAAGAATCTTTGCTTTTTGTTACGTTGAAGTCTCCGAATTAATTTCCACATTCTGAATTCATTCTCCGTGTAAGCAGCCTAAGTGCTGAAGTATAAATCATGTCATGTAAGGCCATTGCTCTGCCCAGAACCCTTCAGGGAGTTTCTGTTGCACCTAGAAGAACTCTCCAGCTCCTTGCCAAGGCTACAGCCCTCTATGACTTGGTGTGCAGTGCCTGCTTCTCTCCTTCCTGCTTACCCCATTGGCTTGCTTTTTTTCTTCTTTGACCAGAGGTAATATCTACCTCAGGACCCTTGCACTTGATGTTTCCTCTTCCTGGAATACATTTCCTTCACATATAAGTATGGCTGGCTCCTTTTTGCAATTCAGGGCTCAGCTCAAATGCCACCTCTGCCAGAGTCTTCGGGGACCACCCTGTCTAATGAAAATGCACCCCCAAAGTCACTGTCTAATCTAATACTTGAAGTTTTATATCTTTCATAGTGTTGGCTATTACTGGATATTACCTGATTTGTTTGCTTGCTTGCTTATTCTTTTTGCTGTTTATTATGTTTTTCCCTCTGCTGGAATATAAGCTTCATGAGGACAGGGTCTGTCTTGTGTATTATTATCTCTTCAGAGCCTAGAATACTACTTTTAGTTGGTTCTTAAAACATTTGTGTTGAGCAAATGAAGTATATCTTACATAGGCATGTAAGATTTACTTTGCTGCAAGATTTTAATTAGTTAATTTTTTAGTTTTTGAGTAAGCTCTACGCCCATCATGGGGCTTCAACTCACGACCCCAAGATGAAGAGTTGCATGCTCTACTGACCGAGTCAGCCAGGCGCCCCACTTTGCTACAGGATTTTAAAGTCCTCCCTTAACATGGTTTTCTCTTAAATGATCTCTTGAGCTGGAAGGAAAGCCTGAAGCGTTTGTATTGGCATGTGCAGGTTATTGTATAGCTTGCAGGCGATGTGGACACCCAGGACAGCTTGCCTTTCTGTGTCCCCGGGGTCTCCCACGTCCAACCATGGGCTTCACCAGATAAGGCTCTTGTCAGGACTGGTGGGTTATAGCTTACAGTGATGCCAGCTCTCTTGTGAATCTCCATTCCCTCATTGGTAGAGTGAGGAGTTTTATTAGATGATCTCAGAGACTTATTTTTGCTTTTGGGTTTCAGGTCCCATGATTCAGTCCTATGAAGGGAAATTAATCCCACCCGTCCTTTTTCCACAAGGCACGATTGACAAATGAATTTAAGAATAACCCTTATCTTTTCCTGTCTGGATCTCTTGGAACTTGGGGGAAAAAAAATTACTTTTAAGTGCACGGGTTTAGGGCAGGAAATGGGAAATGGTAGTTTCCCTTCCTTTGGAACTGGCAAGTGAATAGTTCTTGAATGAATGAAGCGCATTCCATAACATCCAAAAATAGATAAATACTTGAGATTGCAATTACAAAATATCTGCAATTGTGATTAGTGACTGTTCTTTGCTAGGAAGTACCTGGAGGTTTATCTTTTTGCTGATTGCTTTGGAATTTCGATCACCTTAATTGTGTGCCACCAAGTTGCAGAAAGCAGAATCAGGGATGAAAAAGGACTCTGTGCACAACAAAGATGAGGACAGCAAGCTAGAATTCGTTTGTTGTCTTCTAAAGCGATTAACTTCTCCCTTTTTGATTTTTTTTTTTAATTTTAAGTAAACTGTGCCACACGTGGGGCTCGAACTCATGACCCTGCAATCAAGAGTTGCATGCTCTACCGACTGAGCCAGTCAGGTGCCCTGCTTTGTGATTGAATGCCAGACGTATAAAGCACATCCATCGGTGGGGTGGGAATCTAATATGTGGAAATGATTTAGAAGAAATCATTTCTATGCGAGAGTTCCACAATGGCCTTGTTGGTGATGAGTTTGGGGGGGGGGGTGTTGATTGTTGTTCTCATTGTTCCATATGCTCTTCCATTCCTTATTAAGATGGCTGTCAAGACCAGGCTTGGGTGCCAGGGCCAGAAAACTCAGAATAACAATGAAAAGGTCAGGGCTGGTGGGGCAGCCAGCCTAGGGCCAGGGATCCTGACTTCTGTCCTGTTGCTCTCACAATTCAAGGTCGGTGATTCTGGTTCCAGCATCATGTCCAGCTGGGTTGAATCACAGCTCTGACCTTTGCTTGCTGTGTGTCCTAACTATCTCTGTGCCTTGGTCTCTGCATCTGTCAGAGTAAAGTAGAGCTCAGGTCACGATCTCAGGGTCCTGGAATTGAGCCCTGCGTTGAGCTGCCCACTCAGCAGGGAGTCTGCTCCTCCCTCTCCTTTTCCCTCTGCCCCTCCCTGTCCCCCCCCCCCGCTCATGCTCTCTCTCGTCCACTCTCTCTCTCTCTCTAATAAATAAATAAAATTTAAAAAAAAAGTATGTACTGTGGAGGGATGTTGTGGGGGTGAGGTGACTTGATGTCTATAAAGCACTCTGAGCAGCACTTGGAAAGCCTCGTATGTAAGCTTTCACTGTCACCAGTTGTTTCCTAATAATATTAATACTTGGAAGGAAAGACCTAGAAGAATTGGGGAGGCCACCCCTTCTTGTCCATTGTAACGTTCTCCTATCTCAGGACCTGTAGCAGCTGTAACAGATCCTGATGGGTATTGTTTTTGTATTTCAGATCACTTCTCTCCAGAGAATGTAAATGACACGGCCAAAGAAACATGCTTAAATTGGTTTTTCAAGATTGCTTCCATCAGGGAACTCATTCCAAGATTGTATCCTTTTTTTTTTTTTTTTTTTTGGTCTGATGATTTTAAAGATAGGCTGAAAGAGTTGCACCATTAATGGAAGCCATGTGATGGGATGCCCTGAAATTCCTGTTGAAAATTTGGTCCTGTTACGGTTGCTAGCTTGAAAATCCAGAGCCAGCCGCATTGTCAAAGCCTTTGGACTCCTCTCTCCCCAAATAGTGTTCTGTTTTCTTTCTTTGAATATGATGCCATGTACCAGACTTTTGTTTCCTAGAGGAACATTCCCACATTAATTCTCTCAATTAAAATGCTTCATTTTTATGTGTTTTCTCTGGTTCCAAAAACTTGAAAGGAGCAGGGTCAGGCTTCTCTGCACAGATGCCAGTTTTGGAGAACAGAGAGTTTGACTTATACACAAATGAATCTTGGTTATCTAAAGTTCATTCTTTCCCCATAAAGCCTCGATGGGAAATGCTCAAAACACAGTTTAAACTTCAGCAAGCAACTGTGAATCAGCATGTATTTTTTTCCCAAAATGTATTTTAAATAAGTATGAAATCTTGAAAACCAACTATGGAAACCATGGGCTGTTAGCTAATGCAATTCTCTGGGCTGGTGAGAGCCATTGTGGTTCCGTGTCCGGAAGTCATGCTAAGTTCTGCTCGTGAGTGGTCTCGTCTCTTTGCCATAGGGAACAGGCCATCTGGAAAATGTCTTCCTTAACAGGATGTTTTTGTAGTTATGTGGAAGCATCCATCCTGAAGTGTAACAAGTTCCTCTCCAAAACGTAAGACTCTTCTTCAATGTCTAGAACCGTAACATTTTCAAGAAATCTCTCTCTCTCTCTCTCTCTCTCTCACACACACACACACACACATACAGACACGGCAGTGTGATAGCTATCATTCATTGGGGTACGTAGCATGTAGCAGATCTGGTGCTAAGCACCTTCTGTGCATTTTCTCCTCTGATCTAAGCGGAAACTTGATTAGGTAGAGATACCATTATAATTCCTATTTGATGGAGAAGAAAACTCAAGCTAGGAGAAGGTGGTTGAGTGGTTCATGGAAGAATCCTCGCTTTGCCTTTAGTAACTGTGTGGTCTTGGCAAGTTATGAAGCATCTCTGACCCTCAGTTTCCTCTTCTGTGAACGAGGCCATAAAAAGAGGTTGGTGAGGGTTTGTCGAGAGCACTGCCTGCCACCCAGTGGGCCTGTGCTCAGTATTTGCTGATGCTGCTGAAGATGGTGATGAAGATGCTGTCAGAAGCAAAAGCCTTTGCCCCTGAGCCCCATGCTACTCTTGGGCCTTGTTTTGAGAATAGTTTCCAGGGCTGGGAGAAACCAGATCTGTTTTCTGCAGAGCCAACAAAACGCTAGGTCATGTTGAATAGCCTGTAGATAATAAACTCTCTGAAGCCAGGGGCCAACTCCTGGTGCTTCATAGTGAAGTCGTTTTATTGGGTTTAGAATGTGTACCAAATATACTTGATTTGGATCTAAGGGTGTCGGGTATTTTTTAGGGATAATATGAACTGGTTTTCAGAATTAATTGTTTCTTAATGCCCCGAAAAGAAATTATTTTGCCTCACCATTTGGGAAGGATAATGCCTGAGGCAGAGGCAAGTCCCATGTTGCAGGAGAAATAAATCAGTCACAGTTCACATTGATGGGAGATCGCTGATGCCAGCCTGAGGTGCCAGGAGTTGGGTGCCAGGAAGGAGTGGGGCAGAGGACAGTAAGTCAGTGCCAAAAGAATATAGACACGGCAAGAACATTGAGAAGATCAAGGAGTGATCAGCAGATGGAAAATAACTGGGGGACAAAAACTGTTAAACCAATAAAATAAATATGACCTCAAACGGGCAAAAAAGGAAAGGTTAGACCCCAGCACCGTGCAAATGGTAAAGATGATAGAAGCCACTCAATGAGTGAATTGTGTCCAGAGAGAAAGACTTTTGTTACATTGCCTTAGAAAAATGCCAACTTTGGCCTTGGTTTGTCTCTGAACCTTGATTCTTTTTGCGCCCCCCCTACATTGAGGAAGTGTAGCTTTATCTTCATGTTAAAAATAAAAGAACAGAGAGTGCTCACATCGGGTGTAATGCCACCTTCTTTTCGTTCCTAACAGGGGGATTTCAGAATGTCTGCCCCGGCTGACGTGCATGATTCGCGGGATCGGAGACCCGCTCGTGTCCGTGTATGCCAGAGCCTATCTGTGCCGGGTAGGTGGTGTCGGGTCCCCGTGCGCTCACAGACGCCCGTCTCCTTCACCTAGGCTTCTCCTGCCTGGCACCTCACAAGTCACTACAAGAAGGACTTCATTAGCTGCTAATTTTAGAATACGGCTCTTCCACGGAAAGCAGAGCTGTAGGATTTCTTCTAAAAATTAATTTTAAAGTAGGCCCACTTACCATCACTCTAATTAGGGGGCGTCTAAGGTCATCTTCATGCAAATGAACTGGTTTTCAGAATTAATTGTTTCTCCAGTTCTTGCTGGGAGGGAGGCTCCCAAGGCCTCTTGGCTGATAGGCTGCTTTTCATTGACTCGAAATCGGCTTTCCTTTTGTCTTGGATCGGGTTGTTTTATTAGTTTCTCTGTCCCTGCATTCAAGAGTTGGTGCAGGGTGCGAGTTGGTGGGGGCTGTCGGGCAGGGCGAGGTGCTGCTTGCAGTGACAGGTGTCGGGGTCCGTGCAGCCCAGCCACGGAGGGCTCCTGGCCTTTCTAGCTGCTCAGACTGGGGAGGTGGCCCTGGTTGTAGATCACTTAGCCTTTTTCTCTCTCAAAGCACCATGAAGCTTCTATTTCAAACTTTTTCATTTATGAAAAATGCAACCCATGGAGAGTTTCTGGTTAATTCTTCTTCAGCTCCCATGGGGTCTTTGCCCTGGAAGTCGTCCTTGCTAGTCCCGTCAGCATTCTTCACCTCAAAGGAGGGCTTAATGCCCCTGTTTTGTAGGGTTCTGATGAACTGCAGACTTCCTTGAGGACAAAGCTACAGGGCCTCCCCCAGCCCTTGCCAGTGATCATTCATATTTGTAAATCAGAAGGCGAGAACCGGTAGCCTTTGATTGACTTTACGTGACATCTAGCAAGTGACAGAAGCCCTATGGTGTCAATGTCACAAAGAAATCAGAGAGTCAGCACCCTCAGAGTGAATAGCAAACATCCTTATGAAGGACACTTTTTTTTTTTTTAAAGATTTTATTTATTCATTTGAGAGACACAGATACAGAGAGAGAGGAAGCACGAGCAGTGGGAGAGGCAGAGGGAAAGGAAGAAGCAGACTCCCCGCTGAGCCAGGAGCCCGATGTGGGGCTCGATGTGGGGCTCGATCCCAGGACCCCGGGATCACGACCTGAGCCGAAGGCAGACACCCAACCATCTGAGCCACCCAGGCGCCCCTGAAGGACACTTTTTATAGGTCTGTTCCCTGATACCAGGAAGGAAAGAAAAACCTTTTCACTTGAGGGCAACCTAGTCCCTGTTGGTAACAGAGGCCAGAGTGTTTAGGCCCTGCCATCTGCTTGAAACTTGGGGTGGGTTTTTTCATACAGGAATATCAGGTATGTTTCCTAGAGCTTCAGCTTTGGAATATATTGAAGCATGAATACTCCTCCTGGGTCCGTGTTTGCTAAGGGCCTACTGTGTGCAGAACACTGTTGGGTCCTGTGGGGGAGATGCAAGGATATTGTCATTTGCATATTTCTGTTCCACAGCCTTTCCCCTCATCGGACATAGCACATTATTCGACTCCCCAGTTGGATAATAGAGTAATAAAAGACTTAGAGTCATTGTGTGTATTAATGAGGTTGATTCTGGTTATTGAAGAGAAATCAGAAAGGTGGAAATGTGCATTCTTTGCAGACCTGTTCAGTTGTAAAGTTGGAAGTAAGTCGCATAGGTTAGGGAAAAGATCCTGTTTCTGGCGTATAAAATGGCACATGGTAACTTTAAACTTTGGTGGCAATGAACCCATCCCAAGAAGACTGGTGATAAAATGCAGTCTGTCTCTGGAAATCATTTTTGTCAACCCAGGCTTTGCATCAATTGCCCGGGTTGGGTAGCTACTAAGTTTCTTGACATGAAAGAATGAGACAGTCTGAGCATTCTTTTAGTTGCAAGCGGCAAAAACTCAGTTCATACTATTTTAAGCAAAAAGGAGGGTTATTGGCTTGTGTGTCTAAAGAATCTAGGGGTAGTGCAGGCATGGCTAGATCCAGGGTCTTCAGAGTGTTGTCAAGAACTGTGCTCTCCTCCGTCATTCAGCTCAGCTCTCCTCTGTGTTGACTTCATTCTGTGGCTTATTCAGCAGCCCCAGGCTCCCATCCTCCTAACTGAACCCCAGTGGAAGGAGAACCTTAGAAGTGCCAGCCAGAGTCTTAGGCTCTCAATGAGCCATTTTGGGTTACTTGCCCATCCATATAGACTGTGGCCATGGGATGCGATATGCCCACTGAACAGGCCTGGGTCGTGTGCCCACTCCTGGACCTCAGGGTAGGGTGGATCCGGCTCCTCCACAGACCTCATGGTCTGAGAGGGAGGTGTGCTTCCCCAAATACAAATCCAACTTGCTGATACCAGAAATAGGAAATGCATGCCAGGCAGGCGGAAACAGCAGATGGAAATCATGAGCTACTACCCTTGCTACTCTGGGTAGAAATCTTTTAGACCCAAGCGGATTTCCAAGCTGCTCCTTTGTCTTGATGGAAAGAAAGAAATAAAACACAGAAAAGCAGTGAGTGGGCAGGGCGTGGGGGGAGCTCGAAGCTGTTTATTAAAGGAAAGTATGATTAACTCCTCTGTTAAGTCACGGCCTCTTCAGCTCATCACCATTGCTTGTCCACTGGGCCTTCCTTTGCTGTCACCTAACAGATAATTATTGTCTCTTCTACGATATGATTAAGTGGAAGGAAAGACAATAGAACACAGTAGAACTGTGTTCTGACATTTGTTGTTAGTTTTGTTTTTTTTTTTTAATCTACTGCTTGTCCTTGAAAACATCCTCAACAGCCATGGAGCTGCCCTTGGAATTTAGCGCCCCAATGGATCTCGCATAATTCTTCTCAAAGGAATTCTTCACAGTGTGTAAAAAAACATCATTATCGTTAATCTTCATGACCTCAAGTAGGGGGAGGTGAGTGGCAGAAATCTGTCCCCATTTGAAGAAATCGGGTCCCAGAGAAGCACCTTCTCCTACAAAGTTGTTTTTGTGCTAAAGCAGCAACTTGGAATTGAGGTCTGAGGGGCTCAGTTTAAAGAACATGATGCTTTTGTTTTGTTTTGAACACATGAAACACATGAACTCCCCTCCATAGCTCATACCTTCATTTTTCCATCCAGCCTCAGGGCTCTGGCTGCCTTCTCTAGGATTAGCACGTTTTTTTCGGCTGGCAATGTTACAGTCTGTTTTTTAAACAATGAATGCGGGAGCAAGTGGGTTATAGCATTGTTACGCTTCATGCTCGTATTGTATAAAATTGCTTAAAATACATTAAAAACTTGTCTGCTTCCATGACTGCCCAGCGAAGAATGAATCTGTATATTTTAACAATGCAACAGTGAAGTCCCAGCTGACTCTCTTCTGTATCAGAGTGTTTTTTGCTTCATTTAATAAAAGTGCAGCCACATGTGTGTTTATCATTTTTTTTTGACAGCAAGAGAATACTGTATACACAATCTTTTTTTTTTTTAAGATTTTATTTTTTACTTATTTGACAGAGAGAGACAGCGAGGAGGGAACACAAGCAGGGGGAGTGGGAGAGGGAGAAGCAGGCTTCCCGCGGAGCAGGGAGCCCGATGCGGGGCTCGATCCCAGGACGCTGGGATCATGACCTGAGCCGAAGGCAGACGCTTAATGACTGAGCCACCCAGGCGCCCCCTGTATACACAGTCTTAAGAGTACATTCTTCCTGGGGCACCTGGGTGGCTCAGTTGGTTAAGCGACTGCCTTCGGCTCAGGTCATGATCCTGGAGTCCCTGGATCGAGTCCCGCATCAGGCTCCCTGCTCGGCAGGGAGTCTGCTTCTCCCTCTGACCCTCCCCCCTCTCATGTACTCACTCTCTCTCATTCTCTCTCTCAAATAAATAAATAAAATCTTTAAAAAAAAAAAAAAGTACATTCTTCCTTTGTGCCATATTGATTTGTTCTCTTGGTTATCTGTTGAGAAATACGTTCATTACCTTTGGGAAATTGCAAAGATGATTACTGCAAATGTTGCCTTTTTTTTTTTTCATTAAAAATAGCTTCTGTGGTTTTTCTTGTAGAAGCATCTATGCTTCTTGAATAAGAAAACAGATAAGGAAAAAGAATAAAAACTTTCGGGACTTCTCTGTGCCTACGTTTATTTCCATGTATGTTTTTAATTTATAGCAACGACATCCTACCGTATATATTCTTTGCAACCTGTTTTTCCATAGTCAAGGTAGTTTATTTTGTTTGGCTCCAGGTGGGAATGGAAGTGGCTCCACATCTCAAAGAAAGCCTGAATAAGAACTTTTTTGACTTCCTCCTCACATTCAAACAGGTAAGAGAACACTGGCAGAACAGCTCATTGACATAACAATTACACAATCGTGAATTCACAAAACCCAGTTGGATTTCCAAGTTGAGATTGCCTTAAAGCCCTTTAAATGTGTAAACCCTCGAAAATTACACTCGAGTCTGTTACAGACAATTAAAATGTGTTGATTGTACTGAAAAAGCAGAGAGAATTAATATGCATGTGTTAACAGGAAATGTCTCCGGTTGATCAGCCTTTCTTCCTCACATCTGCGGGCTCCATTTTTATCAGGTTATTTCTTTGCACAGTGCACATTCCCAAAACAGCTCAGCCTGGGGACATGGGAAACTTTCTGTGTGTTTTTTCTAGTTTAAAAAAAAAAAAAAACTGAGAAACCAGGCTATTTCTCTCGGGGCCATCCAAATGCTTACAAGTATGCACAGTCTGCGAGTTACATGCTCTTCGTTTATTATTATTCCCTTCCTTTTCTGAGTGTTTATTTGATCTCCTGTAGATTCATGGGGATACGGTCCAGAACCAGCTGGTGGTCCAGGGAGTGGAGCTGCCATCCTACCTGCCCTTGTACTCGCCTGCTATGGACTGGATCTTCCAGTGCATCTCCTACCATGCCCCCGAGGTAACTGCAGCGTGGCGTCAGCGTGAAGTTCACACGGAGGAGAAATGCTGGGGCTCCGCGCTCTTCCATATTGTGTCGTAATGACCTCTCCATCTATGTGCCAGGTCACGTCAACAGGGTCTTTCTGTAACAGCGACAACCATACCGATGCTAGCCACCCGATCCACAGGACTCACTGTGGTGGCTGGTGCTATGCACAGTGCTTCTCTTAGATTGTTTTGTTACCAGTGCTGGAGGGAGGCTCAGCCAGGGCAGACAGACACCTCTGACAGGTCACGGAGCTCGAAGGTGGTGGTGACTGGGCATACGCTGTGCAGTGTGGCTCCAGGGCTGGTGGGTTTCATCACCTCTTCACTAACCTTCAGGACCCCTTTTGGAGGTTCGTGATAATCTAAGAAGTCGGGAGAGCGGATAATAGTTGCCCTATTTTACAGAGGGAAAGTGAAACTCAGGTGTGTGATTGTGTTGATAAGATTTTTTTTCTGTTCTGTTTTTTTTTAAGATTTTATTATTTATTTGAGAGAGAGAGAGAATAAGCGGAGGGAGAGGGAGAAGCAGACTCCCGGCTAAGCGGGGAGCCCCAGTGCAGGGCTCAATCCTAGGACCCTGAGATCATGACCTGACCTGAAGGGAGACACTTAACTGACTAAACCCTCTTTTTTTTTTTTTGGTCTAATAGAAGCATTGTTAGGAATTAAACTACAGTTGGAATCATAGCAGAAATACTTTTTTCTTACCCAAGACTGAGAAGTAGAACATCGGTTCCAGTTGGCATAATAACCACCATGATAGATGAAGCTTCTTCAACAGATGGTTCAGAATTTATCCTTTGGGGAGGAGGGGAGGGGGTCTTGCTACAAAACAAGGATGCATAGTGCAGAGCAAAATTCAGGTACGCCTGCCTTTTCCCAGAGGCTGTAAACATATTGACACCCTAAAGAAAGAGAAAAAAGGACATGACTTTGACTAAGCACTCCCACTTTTAAGAATATCATGTAGAGGGGCGCCTGGGTGGCTCAGTCGGTGGAGCGTCTGCCTTCGGCTCAGGTCATGATCCCGGGGTCTTGGGATTGAGCCCCACGTCGGGCTTCTTGCTCTGCGGGCGGGAGGCCTGCTTCTCCGTCTGCCTCTGCTCATGTGCTCTCTCTCTCAAATAAATAAATAAAATCTTAAAAAAAAAAAAAGAATATCACGTAGACATAATTGGACAAGTACGTAAAGATGCACGTGCACACACGTACATACAGATGTGTGGGTTGTTCGGGCTGGCCCAGCATCAGAAACAGCCATCACAAGGGGATTGGGTAGATTGTGGAATCCTTATAGATTCAGTGGAATGTGACGGGGTCCACTTACAATGATGGAGGACCACGATGTGCATACGGACCTAAGGGTGCTCACAATAATTGGTGAGTCACAAAAGGAGGTTACACACCTTGCTGTGTGTGTCCTCAGTGGTAGCGTGGCCTAGTGTTCAGGTGTGGGCCCTGGAGTCGGAATGCCTGGGTTTGATTCCCAGATCCATTGCTTACAGCTGTCGGGACAGAGGCACAGCCAAGTCCCTAACCACTCTGAGCCTTTTTTCTTCATCTGTGAAATGGGAGCTTTAGTTCTTGTTTTTTTGCACGGGTCGTGTAGGACGATCCGTTTGCGTTGCTTGGTGGAGTGCCCCACACATAGTACTGGGGTGTTTGTTGTGTTGTCGGGATCGCAAACATGATTTTTATATCTGCGTGCGAGAACTGGGGAGGAGGTATGTCAAAATATCACTGGAAGGTGAGATTTTGCATCATCTTAACTTAGGTTTCTTGGCCTCCGGTGGCTTCTAACTTTCCGACCGAATGTGATGCTTTCCTTACATTTTAATTTTCCCAAATCCTAAAGTATGAGGGGAAAAAGAGGAGCATCTTATATTTCAGGTGACTTTTTTTTTTTTTTTTAACCATTAAGTTGATTTTAAATCAAGTCAATATGAATGGAAGATTGGAAGGTCTTCAAGAGTCTCAGCAACCATATGGTGGCCCAGGCTCCTGGGGAAAAGGGGCACGAGCTTGAGTGTTGAAAGAGCCTCCCGACCTGTTCAGCTGAGTGACTGAAACATAGGAGCAGGATTGACATGTTTGAAAATGGGAACACTTAGGTTTTTTTCTCCCTAACAAAAGGCCAAATTGGATTAAAACAAAAGGTACCTGTCATAAGGCATTCTTCCTTTTATTTTAAGCACCAGTAATCTCAAAGGATGGCAGAAGCTGGGAATAGAGCTTTCCCGGGGAGTAAAACTCTAGGAAATCATTACTGAGCCAGAAGAAGTGATTAAAAAAATTAGGTCACCTGAATAATAATAAACTCTGATTCTTGGGGCACTTAAATAAGGAACTTGCAGCGTCTCATTAAAAAAATGTTAATCATTTTCAAAATGCAGAGGAATCAATGTCTGGGTAGAAGGTGGTGTTGAAAATGGGTGTGTCTGATGCCTAAAAACTCTCTGAGTGGCTGGGATGTGTCACTTGGGGAGTTAGGCTGTGCCTCCAAAGCAGGGGATTGTCTGTCTGGCTACGGCCGCTGTTAATATACAGGACAGGCAGGCAAGATGAGGGGAAAGGAGAAAAGCCTTCAGCTGCGAATATCTGTCATAGGAAATTTCAGATTGAAATTGAAATCCCAAATCCCCAGGGAAAAAAAAAATCAGGGAGTGATTATTCAGAAAGGCTTTGTTGTTGTTGTTTGAAGACAGGATTTTTTCTTTCCCCCTTATACAACTAAAATAAAATGATAATAAGTAAAAAATGGATTTATGCCCTGAATTTCAGGCACATCCTGCACAGGAAAAAGGTAACCATATCACAAGATCTGGTTTTGGGTGGTGAAAACAGATCCCTTGGTAAGCTTCTCAGCATTTCAGCAGCTTTTCGTTTGTTGGGGGTGGCATGGAAGGTGTAGAAGGAAGAAGGCCTGGTCCTGGACATGAGTGGTGAGTCTCGTCTGACAGGGAATCCCGTGTGGTCCTTTACTAAGCCCGAGAGGTGCAGGTTGTAAATGTTGGGTGAGTGAAGAGGCAGGTGTACTAGTAGAGGCCGGGGTGGGCAGTTGGGCAGACCTGGGTTCAGACTGTGGCTGTGTTGCCTTGGGCTACTTGACATCTTTTACCAGCTGTAAAATGGGGCTAATGAAAGAAGCTTCCTTTTTTTTTTTTTTTAAATAGTATTTTTTTTTTAAAAATTTTTTATTTATTTATTTGAGAGAGAATGAGAGAGAGAGTGAGCATTAGAGGGGGGAGGGTCAGAGGGAGAAGCAGGCTCCCCGCTGAGCCGGGACCCCGATGTGGGACTCGATCCCGGGACTCCAGGATCATGACCTGAGCCGAAGGCAGTCGCTTAACCAACTGAGCCACCCAGGTGCCCGAAAGAAGCTTCCTTGAAGGACTGTCATGGAGTGACTGTGATACTGTCCATCTGTGCGTGGCCAAGGGATGGGGGCAGCAGGCAAACGGGGTGGCTGCCATCCTTATGTTTGGACTCACTGAAGCAGATGGGGTCTGGGTTGACTTGAAAGTCCGGAAATAAGCAGGGGTCGGGGTGGGGGAGGGGGGAGGGAGGGCCAAGGGAAAGGACTGAGGCAAGTAAGAGGCATAATAAGGAGACCAGCCTTACTGGAGGAGAGTGAGAAGTTAGGCTGGCTGGTGTGGAACAGCCTACAGAGGTTGTTGAACATAACGTGGTGGAGATCAGGCAGCTCTTGGAGATTTTTGATCAGGAGAACGATTTGAAACAAGCAGTACTTGAAGATCAAACTGGCAGAAGGAGACAGATCAGAAAAAGGAGAAGAGTTGGTAGCTGTGGGAAAAAAATGAGACAGAATGGAAAGGAGAGAATTTCCTAATCAGAAAACATTTATTAATAAAAATACATACTCAGGGGCGCCTGGGTGGCTCAGTGGGTTGAGCATCCGACTCTTGATTTCAGCTCAGGTCATGATCTTGGGGTCCTGGGATTGCCCCCATTGGGCTCTGTGCTGGGTGGGAAGTCTGCTTGGGATTCTCCCTCTTCCTCTGCCCCTCCCCCTGCTCACGTGCTCAGTCTCTCTCGCTCTCTCCCTCCCTCTTTAAAATAAACAAATTTAAAAAATGTATTCATATTTAGAAAAGATAGAAGAGTGAAAAGGCAAAAAACAGCCACCTAAAATCCTGCTATATTAACATTTTGATAGGTTTTCGTATTAATATTTCTCTGTCCACTCTGGCTTTCGCTCTGTACTTTTGTTTTATAGATGAGGATTTTTGTATGCGTAATTTTATGGTGCTTTTCCCTCACTTAATGTTAAAATGAATACCTGTTGTTAAGGAAGTTCTCTGACCCTCAGTCACGTCAGGAAGTGATGTCAGCATCGGGTTTGTTGGGTGTGAGGAATGGAGGAGGGAGGTGAGTCAGAGATGCTAAGCTTTAGAGCCCTCCACACAATCACCTCTTTCTGAGGCTCACTGGGGGCCAAGCCCTGTTTTAGTTCCTTTAGTTGGGCCACCTTACTTCATTCTCAGCTTCCCTAGGCTAGGTATCATTGTCATCCCCATTTTATAGATGAGGCACCTAAGGCTCACAACTTGCTAAGGTCACACAACTGGAAAGAGTCAAAGCCATGTAGCCATGTTGGCGGTAACTGTGAACCCAGCAGATGTATTCTCTAAACTCCTCAACTCTTTCTTTCTAGATAACTCTTGTTAGTGGTTACACTTAAGGAGGGACTTAAAGGCCCTAACAAATCGACTCATGGGACTGTTACCTAATGGGCAAACTATAAGTTGCACTTTAAATATTCTAAAATGTGTGGCACCTGGGTGGCTCAGTCAGTTAAGCATCTGACTTTGGCTCAGGTCATGATCCCGGGGTCCTGGGATGGAGCCCTGCATCGGGCTCCCTACTCAGTGGGGAGTCTGTTTGTCCATTTCCCCCAGCTCGTGCTCTCACTATCTTTGTCTCTTAAATAAATAAAATCTTTAAAATAAATAAATAAATAAATATTCTAAAATGTGAGGCTGGTAATGCCAATCTAAGACTAGCCTTAGCCATTGCTGAATCCCTCTGATGCGTATAGGTGTATCATTTTCGTTCTTTTGAATTAGGAAAAAAAGTTCCCAGTGAAAGAGAAATGATGAAAAATTTAAAAATTTCTCCTTTTAACACCTGGAGCATAGGATTTCTTTTTATTCACATTGAAATATTTTCTTTGAGACTTGAGCATATCAAGTCTGGACTGGAGGGAAGGGGCATATGATTTTGCCCACCCTTTACATGTTTGCTTCATTTAGAAAAATGAGGAAAATATACACATATCACTTAATTCTCTCTCTGTTTTGTTTGTATTGTTTGTTTGTTTTTATGAAGCAGTACTTGTAAACACTGATTGGAAGGTTATATAGTAAAAGCAGGAATACAAATCTGGGAGCACTCTGAGCCGCATGAGTCCATCTCAGTTTAGAAAGCAGAAGTGCGGTGTCAGCCCAATTTCTTTAGCTTTTCCTACACTTTTGAAGTACGTAAATAACCCCCATCTGGAGATAACCTTAAAGATCCAGGTAAATACGGTGGTGGTTATAGAAATCTGTGTACGTTAGTGAAATGTCACAAAGACATACCCTTCCCCCGTAATAAAGTGTGAATGGAAAACCTGGTGAAATATTCTAGTTAATTGTATTATACCAACATCACTTTCCTGGCTTTGATAACACACTCGCGTTAAATAAGATGTCACCATTGGGGGGAGCTGGGTGACCAGTACCCAGGACCTTCTCTATTAGTTTTATAATCTTTTATGAGTCTAATTCCGTTCAAAATAAAAAATTTTTAAAAATCTATCAGGAGCAATCTGAACAGTAATGTTATATGCATGGTAGGGATTCCTCAGCCATTAAAAAGAATGAGGCAGATGCATGTGTGTAGTTACGGGAAGAGCGAAGCCCATGCTAGATTCTTGAGTAAAAAAGGCAAGTTGTGGCCCAATATGTATATGACTGTTCATTTTTGTAAGACAAAAAAACCCAAACTGGACTTTTATAATAAAAGCTATATACTCACAAGGTATAAACAAAGGCCTAAAAAGATGAACACTAAAATGTTGACACTGGTGATCACTAGGAAGCAGGAGTTGGGAGGGAAGGCATTTGCATTTTGCTTAACCGCATGGCAGTAGTGTTTGAGAATTTTTCCATAATAAGCATTTCTTATTTTTATAGTTTTTATTTTATTTTTTATGTTTTTTAAAGGTTTATTAGAAGGTGGGGGGAGGGAGGGGCAGATGGAGAAAGAGAGAGAACCTCAAGCAGACTCTGCGCTGAGCATGGAGCCCCGATATGGGGCTCCATCCCATGACCCTGAGATCATGACCTGAGCCAAAACCAAGAGTTGGATGCTTACTCGACTAAGCCACCTAAGTGACCCTATTTTTATAGTTTTTATGAAAAACAAATATATAAATAAATGAAACGTAGGGGCCGTCCGAGTCTCCTGCACCCTCAAATTCTGATGTGTGTGTACAAGCTAATATGCTGAGCTGCACATTTTCCTAGTTCATCCCAGTCAACAGGCTTGTTTTGGTCTCAGTCTGGTTTGAACTGTTGTTTATCTCATTCTTGCCAAAGATAATCGATCCTGTTGCTTCTCAGAAAAAAAAAAATTCTAATCTCTAACAGATGTGCCTGGGATCCATATCATTTGGCTCCCTGGACACTTTTGGGTACTTCCTATATTCCTATATGATGGCAGAGCTTTTTTTTTTTTTTTAAGTTACATATTTGGATACATTTTTAATGCATTCATCTCCTGTGAAAGAAATTTTTAAGCATTTGTCTTTTTTTTTTTTTTTTAAGATTTTATTTATTTATATGACAGAGAGAGACACAGAGAGAGAGGGAACACAAGCGGGGGAGCGGGAGAGGGAGAAGCAGGCTCTCCGCAGAGCAGGGAGCCCGATGTGGGGCTCGATCCCAGGACCCTGGGACCATGACCTGAGCCGAAGGCAGACGCTTAACAACTGAGCCACCCAGGCGCCCCTAAGCATTTGTCTTAATGGCCAGAATGTTTTGTCCATATGTTGGCATTTACCAACTTTTTTTAGAAGTGGTAGGCCAAGAACTGTCATTTGTGTGTGTGTGTGTGTGTGTGTGTGTGTGTGTGTGTGTGTTAAGAGAGAGAATAAGCCACATAAGGGCATGGTTTTCTGTTTGATTTTCTCACTGCCCTGTCCCCAGTGCCTAGGATAGTGCTTAGTGCCTTAAAGTTGCTCCATAAGTAGGTATTGAATCAGTGATTACTTGTACATGTTGGGCAGTGTTGGTGTGATACTCCTACAGGATATCTCTTTCTCAATCTTTTCCAGAAACCACTTTGATATTGGTCTTCAGGAATGACTTTTCAAGTATAAATACCCCATGAGTGGATTAGGGAAACCATTTGTGACATTGGCAATTTTATTTTCAGCTGGGATGCTGACTACAAGGAACAAACACCTAATTGGCCCTACCAAAATAATTCAGTGTCTTTTCTCACACAGCAAGTGCAGGCTATGGTCTAGGCAGGTTCTGTCCCTCTCTCCTGTGTCATCCTCAGGTAGCAAAGTGGCTGTAGCCATTCTAGGCATCACATCCAAACGTGGCAGCATCCAGAGGAAGAAAGATGAAGAATCTACAATTCCTTGGGTTCCTGTTTAAGAACAAGGAAACCTTTCCTTAGAACTCCCATTCCAGCAGCTAGAAATGGGTCATGTGACCATTGTCTGAATCTCACACTAGCAAAGGGAATGGGGTCACTGTGATCAGTTTGGACCTGTGTTAATTTGCTCAGGCTGTGTCTTAGTCCATCCTGGCTGTTAAAATAAAATGCTACAAACTGGGTGGCTTACCAATACCAGGTATTGATTTCCCCCAGTTCTGGAGCTGGGAAGTACAAGATCAAGATACTAGCAGATCTGGTGTCTGGTGAAGGCTTACTTCCTGTCCATAGACGTCTGTCTTTGCTATGTCTTCACATGGCACAAGGGAGCTTTCTTGGGCCCCTTTTATAAGGGTATTAATCCCACTCACGAGAGCTCCAACCTCATGACCTAATCACCTCTTAATATCATCACCTTGGGAGTTAGGGGGCCATTCAGACCATAGCAGGTTGCCATAATAGACTGGAGGGCTCGAACAACAAAAATTTATTTTCTCACGGTTCTGGAGGCTAGAAGTCCGAGATCAAGGTGTTGGCAGGGTTGGTTTCTGGTGAGGCTTGTCTTCTCACTGTGTCCTCACATGGTCTTCTCTCTGTGCATGTGTGTTCCTGGTCTCTCCTCCTCTTCTCCTTCCTTTTTTTTTTTTTTTTTTTTAAGATTTTACTTATTTATTTGAGAGAGAGAGCCCAAGAGCAGGAGAGAGTGAGCATGGGTGGGGGGGAGGGGCAGAGGCAAAGGGAGAAGAAGCAGGGAGCCTGATGCAGGGCTCGATCCAGGACCCCAGGATCATGACCTGAGCTGAAGGCAGACGCTTAACTGACTGAGCCACCCAGGAGCCCCTCTCTTCCTTTTCTTACAAAGACCTCATTCCCATTGGATTAGGGCCCCACACTTAGGACCTCACTTCTCACTGATTACGTCTCTAAAAGCCCTGTCTCCAAACGCAGTCACATTGGGCATTAGGGCTTCATCATACAAATTGGGAGGGGACCTTATTCAGTCCATAACAGGCCCCACCCTGATGTTTGTAGGGCAGAGACAGAAATCTGAATGAAGTCGGGGTTCTGGGGTACGGGCAATCTCCACAGTCAGCTTTCACCTTCATTATTCAGGCACCGCCTAGGACACAGCCCGAAGGGGTACAATTGCACTAAAGACCACGGGAGGCCAGATTCCTACGAATCTCATTTCCACCACTTACTGGGAAGCAGCTTAATGTTTCTGAGCTTTGACTTTTGCTTCTGTGACGTGGGGATAACAGGTGGGCCTCTGAAGACTGCTGTGAAGAGTCAACAAGAAAAGGCAAGCACAGTGCTTAGCCTGGTGCCCGGCGAGCTCTCAGTGTCCAGGTTGCTGTTAGTGGCTCTTCAGTCTCAGGGTTGACCTCGTCTGTGCCATTCAAAACCTTCCCCAAACCACTGACCTAAAGGATACCTCTTCCATTGATTTTTGTAAAAAACAAAACAAAACAGGAGCTCTTTTAGAAATACGTAATTGTCTTAAGATAGCTCTAAAGCCATTAACAGTATTCCAGTGAGTAAAATATTTACTTCCTTTCGCGGAAAACATAGGCTTCAAAACTCGTTCGGAGGAAATGTGATGAAGAGTATAGCCTTTGATGCCAGATGGCCTGGGTCACGTCTGGCCCGCGGTAGCTCGCTGTGTCACCTTGGTCCAAACACATCACTGTTTCATGGCTCAGTTTCTCACCTGCGTAGTGGGAGAGGCTGCCTCATGGATGGTCGTGAGAGGCGAGATCCCTTTGTGAGAAATGTTGTTTTAGATTCTCCAACCTGATGATTTTCATTATAATTATTTTTAATTAGGCTCTGCTCACTGAGATGATGGATAGATGCAAGAAACTAGGAAACAAGTAAGTATTTTATTTTTTTTAATTATTTAAAAAAAATTTTTTTTAAGTAGGCGTAGAGATCAATGTGGCGCTTGAACTCACAACCCTGAGGTCAAGACCTGAGCCGAGGTCAAGAGTTGGATGCCCAACAGACTGAGCCACCCAGGTGCCCCAGTATTTTAAAATTAATAAAACCTGGGTTTGGAAGCGGAGCTGGTTGATTTTTTTTGAGCTTGGCATGCTCATGTGGGCGAGAGGACCAGCAGAGCGACAGGATGACAACAGAGGGCAGGAAAGTTGAATCCAGTCTCCTGGCTTCCGATTCCTGGCTCCACTCTTTCTTAGCTTTGTGAACTGGGGTCACCTACTTGACCTCTCTGTGCCTCAGTCTCTTCATCCGTAAAATGGGTTTAGTAATAGTCCTTTCCCCATGGGGCTGTGGTAAGTGGTAGGGTCAAAAAACTCCATTTTCCTGTCTTCCAAGCATATGAGGTTTCTCCTCTGCTCTCCCTTCCGTGGTAGATGTCCCTAAGTCACTGTGTCCCCTAGGTCCTAGAACAGTGCTTTTTGTAAGAGGTGAAGATATGTATTTTGTATATTTGCAGCTTGGATCAATATTGTGACTTAATGTTTAGTTTTGTTAGTGCACCAGCCTATCAAAGGCTCAGTTTACATCTGTTTAAATGGATTTGATTGATTGCTGTCCATCAATCCGGCCAGCCAGCCAGCTACCCATTCATCCAGTCAATTCAACATTTATCGAGTTCCAAATGTGTATAAAACATTGTGTTGTTCTCTAGAGGTTGCCTTTTCACGCCAGCCTTTTAAAATTTTTTTCCAACTTTACCATTAAAGAGTTCTCAATTCCTCCTTCCCAGCAACGTACGTACTTAAAATTAAAGTGACTTTCATTAAGGGGCAGCTCTGCTGACGTGGGTCGTGTGTCTTACAGCGCCTTGCTGTTGAATTCTGTGATGTCAGCTTTCCGGGCCGAGTTCATCGCCACGAGGTCCATGGATTTCATTGGCATGATTAAAGAGTGCGATGAGTCGGGTTTCCCCAAGGTAGGCTCTTGCGGGAGAGCAGATAGGCACCATTTACCTGAGAGCTGTCAAGGGAGACAGTCCTTGTGGGGGGCGGGGAGCAGCTTGGGCCAGCAGGAAAACAGGTGAAGGCTCTGTCTCTGAAGAACATGATAGAAGATGATTTTGTGATTGGGATTGTTAGGCACGTGTCATTGCTGCCAGCGAGTCCTAAATCTATCAAATTAGCTCACTGTGAAGTACTTAGGAAAGGCTCAGTCCCCAATCTTTAAAAATGTATCTTCACTCGTTATTTATGAAAAGCTGTGTCCAGCAGAATGTTAGGGCCCACGAATCAGAGTGGTACATGGAGCCGGCTCTTTGTTCGGAGCAGCTCAGTCAGACTTGCACGTAGGCCTGAGGTCGAACTTCAGGAAGGTCATTGGAGGATGAGCCCTGAGATGAGCTCAGTGTTAGAGCCTTTTCCTCTAAGCCTCAAGGTGCTCTGATTTAAAATCCCCAGTATTGTAATGGTTCGCTCTTTTTCTTAGCATCTCCTTTTTCGCTCATTGGGGTTAAACTTGGCCTTGGCTGACCCTCCTGAGGGTGATCGACTCCAAATTCTCAATGAAGCTTGGAAAGTCATCACTAAGTTGAAGAATCCACAGGTGGGTGACCATTCAGACCTTAGATTGACTGTGCCTGCCTTTTGTCCAAGTTCTTCAGTATGTTCTTTCCTTTAAAAAAATTATCTTTTATCTAATTATATGTCTGTTTTTTTGGTTTTTTTTAGAAATAATACTACTTTTAATTGTTTTTGCTAACCTATAGTGGAGAATTGATAGCTCTAAAGATATATTTGTTGGATTTTTGTATCCTAATTATGTCTAATTCTTGAGGCTTCAGGATCTACTAAAAGTGTAAAATTATAAATATTTGAAACTTTAAAAGACCTCTGGCTTTGTAAACAGCATCCAAAGTGCAGCTATCTATAGTACTTGGATTTGAAAGTAACAACTGAGTAAGATATTCCTAAATGGAAGATCAGCAGTCAAACCTGTAATTAGAAGGGAATTCCAACTGTTGTCCCTTGAACTGTTGTCCCCTGAACAGAGATAGCTGGGGCCTCTTTCTCCCACCACTTCAGGTCGGGGAGTCTAGGTGAGATGGACCAGCCGGTGTTAGGTGCTGAAGGCGTGTAGCGCCATCGTGCTGGAGGTTTGGCTTGCCCATCTCACCATCCTTGTCGGCAGCACGCCAGCAAGTTTTGCGGCTGCCACTAGGTAAATGGTACTGGCTGTCTTTGGCTGAAGGACCGGCTGGGCAGACTTCACCGCACCGCACACCGTTCCTCTCCTGCTAGCAGCATGTCTTAGTTCCGCTGCTATAACAGAACAGTGCAGACCGGGGAGGCTTACAGACAACAGAAATTTATTTCTTGCAGTTCTGGGGTTTGCAAGTCTGAAATCAGGGTGACAGCCTGTTCAGATTCCAGTGAGGGCCCTCTTCTGGATTTGCAGATGGCCAGCTTTTCCTCCTCCCTTGGCAGAGAGGGAGAGTGGGCTCTCTGGGGTCCCTTTTATCAGAGCACTAATCCCATTCATGAGGGTTCTGCCCTCATGACCCCATCACCTCCCAAAGCCACCTCCTAATGCCAGCACACTGAGGGGCTGGGATTTTCAACACAGGCATTTTGGACGCAAACATCGAGTCCAAAACCCAGCAAATAACTCAATAAGGGTACGTAACATTTGACACAATCATTTACCAAGAAGGAAATATTAGAGTGAGTTCAGTTATAAACCCCTTTCCAGTCACCTCATTTACAATAGTATATTGCGAATAATGGCCTAATTTAGAAATACCAGAGACTTGTTTACCAAATCAAATACCTAGGTTAAGTTTAGCAAAACCCTCACTAAACTTCATAAACTAAGCTGTTTAACTTAACTCTGATCGGCTAACCAAACAGCTTATTTAGCATGTGTAAAGTCCAAAGTCGCCAGGCCTCTGATGCCTTTGTGTGAGTGCTTCCAAGCAACCTTGCATCAAAAGCCCACATTGATGGTTTTCTTTAGTCTTGAACTTCACAGGGCCTTCGGCCTTCCCTTTCCAGTCTGACCTTCAGATGTTCCTGGCTTTTCTTATGTGACCGAGATAACTATTTTCTTCCTTCAGCATTTCTTCTTTCTTAAAGTGTAGGAACAGAAGAGACACGCTTGAGCTCGAGCGCTTGTTTTCCCCACCTTGAGTGTCTTCTGGGGCAGGCAGCCGTACCCAGCTGTTCACTGCCATTTCCATGACCATCCCACGGGCTCTCTGTGGGCCCTTCCCCCTACTCGAATCTAACACGTAATTTCTTACCTGAAATCTTCAGTGCTTTCTTAGCCTTTTTACAACATACACATCACCCCTCTATCAGAAAAATGGTTTTTTTTTTTTTTAAAGGTAGGAAGCTTTTTTTTTTTCCTTCTCAGAACGTGCAAAAATCACATTCAATTCTGGTCTTCATTTTTCTTTTTCTCTTTTTTTAAAGATTTTTTTTTTTTTAATTTTTATTTATTTGACAGAGAGACAGAGAAGGAACACAAGCAGAGGGAGAAGCAGGCTTCCCGCGGACCAGGGAGCCTGATGCGGGGCTCGATCCCAGGATGCTGGGATCATGACCTGAGCCGAAGGCAGATGCTTAACGAATGAGCCACCCAGGCGCCCCTTCATTTTTTTTTTAAAGATTTTATTTATTTATTTGACAGAGAAAGAGACAGCAAGAGAGGGAACACAAGCAGGGGGAGTGGGAGAGGGAGAAGCAGACTTCCCGCGGAGCAGGGAGCCTGATGTGGGGCTTGATCCCAGGACCCTGGAATCATGACCTGAGCTGAAGGCAGACGCTTAACGACTGAGCCACCCAGGCGCCCCTAATTCTGGTCTTCAACCAGATCCACCATCAGTGTCTCTGCTGAGGTGTGGCCCGGACTCGTGACTTTTATCTCCACTGCCTTTCAGTTCTTCCCAGATTCTGTCTTGGCCCAAGTGGCAATTTTGGAATGTTAGTTAGTTTCACGCAACTTCTGTATTTCTATAACTCGCTTCTTAGGGTAAAATATATCCGTGGGCTAGACTTTTCTGTAGATGAACCAACCAGTCTTGAAATTCCTATCACTTATCTCTTTTAATTGTCAGAGCCCTTGAAGGGGTTTGTACGTGATGAGCTTTTACCATAAGGTCCATCATGGTGTTCTTATCGTCGAGACATTTGTGCCTTTTCTCTGCAGGACTACATTAACTGTGCTGAAGTGTGGGTGGAGTACACTTGCAAGCATTTCACGGTATGTGTGGCCTGCGGTATTGTTTCTGGAGGAGTTATGTTTTTATTCATGTTTATAATAATGAACAAGGCTAGCTGAACCATTTAGGCATTTTACAATGGTAATTGTCCTTAATTTATAAAAATCACATCCTTTATGTTACACTGCGGTAGAGCATGGATATGTGCATTTTTTTTTTTTAAAGATTTTATTTTTATTTATTTGACAGAGAGAGACAGCCAGAGAGGGAACACAAGCAGGGGGAGTGGGAGAGGGAGAAGCAGGCTTCCCGCGGAGCAGGGAGCCCGATGCAGGGGCTCGATCCCAGGACCCCGGGATCATGACCTGAGCCGAAGGCAGACGCTTAATGACTGAGCCACCCAAACGCCCCTGAATATGTGCATTGTAACGAAAGTATTCCATACTCAGTGTAAATTGGGGAAATGCTCCGTTATACCAAGGGAAGCAGTTTGTTTCACCATAAGAAACCTTAGATGCTTACTTGCTAAAGCGCATTGTGACTCTCCCTGGGGATCCAGTCAGTAGCATTTCCACATATTTGACTTGTGTGTAATTTTTTTTCTAAGTGAAGGCACTTCTTTCCCTGTGCCCATACTGGAACCTCAGTTTGGGAAATAACTGGGCTTGCCAAGTAATAGAGATTTTAGAAGCAGGCAGAACTGGGTTCAAATCCTGTTGCCAGAATGCAAATTTTCATCAGCTTTTAAAAACCAAAGTATAGCATATATGCAGAAAAATGAATGTATTGTAAGTTTGCTGCCTAATGAATCTTGAGGAAGTACACCCATGTGATCATGGTCCAGATCAAGAAACAGGGAATAACTCCTCCAAGCCCCCTGAACTGTGCTCCCAGTCACACTCCCCAACCATTGGAAGTTGAAGGCAGCCACCATCCTGGCCTCTTACTCGGTAAATTGGTTTTGGCCTTGTTTTAAGCATTATGTAAGTGCTGCTCTGTTGATTTTGTTTCTTTGGTCCAATTTTGGTTTTATGCTTTATTTTGGAAACTTCAAACATGATATTCCTTGAACTCATCACCCAGAAATGATCAACTCATGACAGATCTTGTTTCATTTAGATCTTTACCCCTTCTCTCCACCCCTGGGTTATTCTGAAGCAAATCACAAACACTGTGTCTTCACCTGCCAATTCTCAGCACGTATATGTAAAATATAAGATTCCCTTTTCTGAAACCAAATCCCGATAGCTTATCTTAACCAAATAATAATAATACTGCTTTTAATACTAAAAATCAATGATCAGATGTCCCCAGTTGTCTTGCAATTTTTTTTTAGAGTTTATTGTTCAGTTGGGATTAAAATAAAGCCTGTACATTGTGGTAGATTTCTTAAGGTTCTTTTAAACTGTAAATTCTCTCTCTTTCCCCGCCGTGTTCCCTTCCCTTCCCCCCCCCATCTGTAATTTATTTGTTGAAGAAATTGGGACCTTTGTCCTGTAGAGTTTCCCAGTCTGGACCAGCTAGTTGCATCTGATGACGGTGTTCTTCTGCTGTCAATATATCCTGCCAATCAGCAGTTAGTTCTAGAGACTTCATCAGCTTCAGATTAGAGTTTCTGGCACTGTGGGTGGTGGTTGGGCGCTTCTCCTGGGAAGCTCACGGTATCAGGCTGTCTCTCTATAACATGGACAGCCACCAAAGCTCGTTGCATCTCACTGTTTCTCAGGGGCTGCAAAATGGTGATACCTGGAATTACAATCAACTCTTCTCTGTTCATTAGCTGGGATACTTGTAGAAAGAGAAACTTCTCGCGTTGGGTGTTTGGTTACCTTGAGGTACAGCTTGCACAGAAAAGGCAGGGATGCTGCTGGTTTGTTTCCTTTCCTTTACTAGTTTTAGAATGAGGCTTGATTCCTCAGCATCCCCAAAGGTGACCAGTGAGTAGTAGTTGTTGGTATCTTTAGGAGCACATGGATTTAAATATACTTGAATTACATCATTCTTACTGATGCTCATTTGTCCCTTCTTTGTCCAGTGGATGCCTTTTCACATTGGCTCCTGAGTCCTTCTGACATGTTCTCTGTAGTCTTTGATGCCTTCCTTGCTTGCTCTTATAAGATGTTGCAGGCTCCCTGGCATAGTTCTTTTTTTTTTTTTTTTTAATTTTATTTTATTATGTTATGTTAATCAGCATCAGCTATTTCTCCAAGGAGCTCTGGTTCATTTTAGTGCCATTGTCAGTTTTTTGTTTCTGTTTTTGTGTTTTTTCTTTTTAGTTGTGTGACCCTAGCTAAGTCACGTAACTTCTCGGAGCTCCACTTCCTTATCTCTAAAATGGGGATAAACATGTCCATGCCAGGGAGTTTAATGAGCATTAGGCAAGAGAGTAAACATAATGGCAACTATTTAGATAACAAATATCAAATAGCAGGCGCCTTACCTGTGAGCTGTGCAGCCTCAGAGAGACCTTGCCAGGAGGCTTCGCTCTTCCTGTTATAAGGACCAGGGGTCAGCATACCTTTTCTGTGGCGAGCCAGACTGAATATTTGATGCCTTGTGGACCGTATGACCTCTGTCACAAGTATCCAACTCTATCATTGCAGCATGTGACCAGCTACAGACAGTATATGAGTGAGTACAGCTGTGCGTTCCAGTAAACTTGATGCACACTGAAATTTGAATCTCATATAATTTTTGTCATGAAATATAATTATTCTGGTTTGAACGTAAAAATCATTTTTAGCTCGTGGGCTGTATAAAAACAGGCCCAGGACTGGATTTGGGCCGTGGTTGGTTGACCCCCCAATAGAGATGACAAAAGCCAAGGTGGGCATCGAGGTCACTCCGCTTGAAGGGGCTGAGTCTGCGCACTTCCCACAGGGCCGAGCTGCGCCGTCTGCCAGCGCCGGGGGAGTGGCCTGGGACAGGCAGGGACAGAGTGGCACGGCCGATTTTATCAGCGCTCAGGGAAGGCGGCGGGGACAGTGTAATACCCCAGAACCTTTGAGAACAATGTTTTAGTCCTGACCTGGTGCAGAAGTAGTTACCTTCAGGGCTGTGATATGGGTGGGAGTTCTCCCTTAATATTATTTCCAGCAGAAGATTTGAAACTGTTTCCTGGAAAGTATGTGGTGTGTTCTGAAAATGTTAGTCCTTTACTCCAGAAAAGCGGTCAGTGACTGCCTTACAGTGTCTAACCCAGGTTTATCACCCCCCGCCCCCCCCGCCGCCCCGCCCTTAGAAACGAGAGGTGAATACCGTTCTGGCTGATGTCATCAAGCACATGACTCCAGATCGTGCATTTGAAGACTCCTATCCTCAGGTAACAGCTTTGCTTTTCTCATTTCCACACTGTTAGGAATTTGATTCTGTTGAATCACATAGGCATGTTGCATGGGTCAGGCTGTAAAGTCAGATAATCCTGGGTTCAAATCCTAGCTCTGCCATATCGTCGCCATCTGCCTTTTATTCCACTACTTAACCTTGTTGTGCCTCAGTTTTCTCACTTGTAAAGTGGGGCTAGTAGTCCTACACTCCCGAGTAGCTGTGAGGATTGCATGAGATATGATATGGGATGCCCTGGCAGTTGCTTGGCACCAGTAAGTAAGGGGCCTGTGTTTTCCAGTTAAACTAACTTTTATTTGGAAATAGTCAAGCTTATTGGAAAATTGAAAGAATAGTTCAGAGAACTCCCATTATTATGATTATTTTTTTAAAGATTTTATTTATTTATTTGACAGGGAGAGACAAGGAACACAAGCACGGGGAGTGGGAGAGGGACAAGCAGGCCTCCCGCAGAGCAGGGAGCCCGATG